ATTTCTTGTTTGGGAATTACATGCTGGAGGGTTAGCTGGTCACTTTGGACAAGCCAAGACCATTGTTGTCTTAGAAACCGATTCTACTGGCCTAGTTTAAAGCGTGATGTTAGTAGACTTCTTAGGAGGTGCCACACCTGCCAACTCGCAAAGCAACGCAAGCAGAATACGAGGCTTTACACCCCTCTTCCCGTACCTAATTGTCCAGGGCAGGATGTGAGTATGGATTTTGTTCTTAGTTTACCAAAGACTAAAAAAGCATGATTCGATTTGTGTAGTTGTCGACCGTTTTTCTAAGATGGCCCATTTCCTCCCATGCTCTAAAACTTTTGATGCCTCCCGTATTGCTAAGCTCTATTTTGATGAGATCATTCGACTACATGGATTACTTAAGACCATCGTTTCCGATAGGGATGTCAAGTTTACAAGCTACTTCTAGAAAACCCTATGGCGCAAAATGGGCACAAAACTCCAATTTTTAACAGCCTTCCACCCCCAAACCGATGGGCAAACCGAAGTGGTTAACAGAAGTCTAGGAAATCTTATAAGGACTTTGGTAGGGGAAAACATACGGGATTGGGATTCCAAGCTTCCTATTGCTGAATTTTCTTACAACAACTCCGTCAATAGAACCACTGGTCTTAGTCCTGCCGAAATCGTGTACGGATACCTACCCAGACAACCTATATATTTACTTCCCATGAGTCCTAGGTTTAGAATGTCAGAGTCAGCATCTACATTTGCATCCCACCTACAGGAGTTGCAAAAGGAAATTAAAATGAAAATTGAGCAAAGAAACGCCAGTTACAAATTAATTGATGATCAAAAGAAAATGCTTAAGGAATTCGAAGTTGGAGACTTTGTGATGGTACGAATACGTTCGGAGTGTTTTCCTCCCGGATCCGCAAAGAAATTCCATGCGAGAAGCGCCGGACCATTCAAAATCATTTCTAAGATAAACAGTAATGCTTACGTGTTGGACCTCCCCGAAGGTTTTAACATCAATCCTACCTTTAATATAGAAGATTTAGTAGCCTTCGAGGGACCAGAGTTTAACCCCCACAATCCACTTACAAATGAGCCTTGTGTGAACCCACCTGGTGAGATCCCTAGCCTGCCTCCACTCCCCAAATTGCCCCACTTACCCAATGCGGAGAAAATAGAAACCATACTGGATGATGAGATCATTTCCACGAAGGAGGGAGGACGTCGAAGGTACTTAGTGCATTGGAAAGGGACCCCACCGACAGAGGACACTTGGATTGACCGAGAGGAGCTACAAATCCTAGACCCAGATCTCTTAGAGTTGTACGAGAGCACTTGAGATACTCACTCGACGGAGTCGAGTTTTCTCCCACCTGGGGAGAATGATGAGGTCATCGACAGACATTTTAGGCAGGTCTACCGGCGAAGGAATCGTAGATCGACGGCTACGAATAGGAGCTTATATTTCTGATGTTTCCATGTCATTTTCTATGTATATTTTAATTTCAAGTTTTAGTTTACTATTTTGTTCTTATGGATGTTTAGTCTTTGTTGTAGCCCTGTGGGCATTTGAGTCATGTTATTTTTCTTTTGTTGAGACCTTTATATAGAGGTCTCCTACTATTGTATGAGCTTAATGTTTGATTAATAAAAATTTCTAAGATTTCAGTCTTCTTCTTGCTTGAGAGTTTGAGAGAAAGAGAGGAGACCTAGGAGAGGCTCCACCCGAAACACCCAACAGCCCCCTTGGTGAGCTCTTGATTTTATTTTATTTGGCTCGCTATTTTCTCTTCTCCCTACCAAAAAATCCCCACCACCCGAACCAGCTGCTTCCCCTCTACCAATTTCCCTGCAGCCGCCTTCCCCCAATCCACCCAGAACCCGCCGATCCCCCCCCCCCCCCCCCCCCCCTTTCATGTGCCCCCCATCCTCCCTCCTTGCCACCGGCTAGGCCAGCCGCCGACCCACCCAAGTCCCGTCGTCCGCCCCTAGCCCAGCCCACTTCCCCTGGTGCCATCCCGCCGGCCCTCCTCCCGTTGAAATTTGAATTTCGTACATTAAATCCCTCATTATTTCTTTCCTAAAATAGCTCACCATATTTAGGAAAGGACTTAAATGAGGCCCCATCTATTTTGAATTCAAATTTCAAATCCCTCTCTTCCTTCCCCCATTAGGAAACCTTCCTTAATTAATTAAAATCTGAAATTCAAAATCAGATTTTAATTAATTCCTTGGGCCCCACTAATTAACCAAAATCCCTCTTTTTCTCCTTTGCATGGCGGGCCACCCCACCTAGCCTATTCTCTATCCACTTGCCACCTAAGCCTCCACTAATTAGCCTCTTAATTCCCCCCTTAATAGCCGCCCCTCTCCCTAACCTAATTTAGGGAGGAGATTTTAATGGCAAATAACCACTCCCGTCAATCCAAGAAAATCTGAAAATTCAAATTCAGATTTTTCCCAAGCAAAATCTCCCTCCACATCCCTCTCCATAGCTCACGGCACAACTCCTCCTTCTTTCTTTTCTTCTTCCCATTCAATCTCATTATGAATGGCGGATCCGGAAGTTGAAGGCGGACTCGTATTCGACGCCTACGGAAATATCCACGTTCTTCGATCTCCGTTCTTCGGCGTGGGATTTGATCACGAAGACACCGTGGGAGATTACTTGGAGCGAATCCTCCCCACGCTTGTGCACGTCATCGACGGCCAAGACTATGTTTGGACAATCACCGGATGTCATCCACTACCACCTCCACCGGCGGCTACCTCTCCGGTAACGAAGTCCTCGTCTCCTTCTCCGTAGTGGTGCTCTCCATCCTTGTATGGTTCTTTTCTCCTTCACTAAAAGCCAAAGAGTGATTGAGTGAGAAGGTGCTCAAGGTGAATTTTCTCATTATTAATCGTGAGATTTTGTTATGAGCATTTAAGTATTTCTTTTATCTTTAGATGTTTTGAATTGTTTGGTTATCTCAAAGCAACTCTTCGCTTAAGCAAGTTGATTACCTAGATTCTATTTAATCCTTTATTTTATTGGTGATAACTTTGTGGTGGTAACGCTTGATTTAATTAACATCTTAATTTCAGCAATCAACTCCTAATTGATTCACATCATGAACTCTATTGTATTTGGTCTTGATCCAATTCTAGGAAGACTTGTGCGGGGGCCATCCATGATGGATGCCAAAATGAAGTAGAGCATCGTTTTCCATCTAAAAATTGACAACTAGAAAGAGATGGTGAATAGAACCATAACACATTTGTTGAGAGGTTAGAAAACAAAATACATCCCAAACTATAGGATGATAGAATGACATGCATTCAATTCACCTTCATTAAAGTTTTGCATCCTTCCATAGCACATATAAAATGTAAAGCTTTCCTAGAGCCTCATACCATAAAAACCCTTTTCCAAATTTGACGAAAAATGTAGTTGAGCACTTGTGCTAACTTCACCAAATTTTCAAGGACATTTCAAACGAGGGGCATATGTTAGAAGATATCAATGAATGTGGTACTTATGCAAGATGGAAGAACCGTTGCAGATGAAATATTCAAGGGAGCACAGAAGAATCAAACCACATAAAACAATAACTTACTAGCACTACATCAAAGGATGAAATATTAGCATGCCTACATTCTAAAAAAGAGACTGCTGCACATTGATCACATAGCATTACCACAGTAATGTTGCCAAATACAAACAAGGCCCAAGCTACAACAAAATCAACATATGAAGAGGACTTATTCCCAACAGTTCAACCTAAAGATAAACAAGCTTATTTTTTCCAAATAAAATGAACTATATATGAACTGAAATGATAGCATGAAAAGGAAACTTTAAGACTTCATATATTAGCTTGTTGCACTTTTATTTTACTCAGAAATTTCAAATATTCACTATTTTCATTTCATTCAATAAATCCAGCATGTCATTATCTATCTATACTCCGAATGAAATGGACTTGTAATTTCACCAATAATAAACTATCATCTTTAAATTCAATATTAAGAAAATCTTAGCTACAAAGAAAACCAAAAGATATACGCCTTTGATTTCAAAAATAAATAATAGCCCTCAGATAAAGGAGAGTAAGAAAAACATGCGACAACAAGACAGAGGTGCAAGGAGAGGAGCTGCAAAATCACATATAGAAGAGATCAAGCAACATACACATATAGATAAAGAAAATGTAGGGGAAAACGGAGACGTTGAAGCATTTGATGTCTTAATTTAGATTTTTTCTTTATTTTCTTTGATCTCAGGTTTTGTTTGCTCAATGTAGCAAGTAACAAAAGAGTTGATGCTCAACATCATAAGGCGACTCAAAGAGCGGTCAAAAGAAGGATGTCAAACCAACGGCACCTCAGAGATGGTCGGCATCAATAGCACACAGGTTTGTTCTCTGTAATGGAGAAGATGAAGACACGGGTAAGGAGGAGAATGTTATGGCACGCTTGTTCGAAGTGTTCGGAATGCAGAAGTTTGTATCCATGATGTTAAAGTCCTTGGCTTTTTTAAATCATGCTTTTTAACGTCTAGTTGTGCTTAATCTACTTCTTTTAACGTTTTACTCCTTTCAGAATAGACTCATGTATATTATCGTAGGTTAGAATCCTTAAAATCTGAAAAAAAAAATAACTAAAATAAAAATAAAATAAATTATCGGAATTTAATACATGTCATGCCAAGTAGTTTTTAGAATTTAACACTCACAGATTTATTAAATCCAGATTTACAAGATTTGGTAGTAGAATTTGATTCTAAATACCATATATGACAAAACAAAACTGTTGAATGTTTATGCACAGGAAAAACATATCGAATAAATAAAAAACAATGATAAGAAAAATATGCAAACACACGCACATTCAAAATCCCTAACATGATGTATATTGCTTGCACAAAGAAAACCATAGTGATTATCAATAATAGAATAAATATCAATGTTTTTTGTGTGTTCAGAAAGAAGGGATAACGATGCGAGGCAGTTGAAAGAAGTAAAAGGACTCACAGAGAGACGACGGGGTCGAAAGTAGAGAAAGACTGAGAGGAGACATAGAAAGAATAAAGACCAGTACACGTCGAGGCCGGAAGAACTGCGGAGCAGAAACGCAAATTTGTGCGAGCAATGAACCACCGACGAGGAAGCGAGCGAATATTGTGGTTGATCTGCGCAGCACTACAAAAAAAATAATAATAATTAGGAGGAGCTTAATTGAATTAATAGAAAAATTACTTTAAAGTACAAATGGGAGAGACATTACACCTTGAAATCATCGAGTTGCTTTATAAGCGGTGGCTTCCAAATAAGGTGTAACCGAGTCAAGTCGACTCATGAGTGGGCTCGAATTCAACTCGGTAATAGATTCAAAGAATCAAGTTTATTAAGCTCGTGAGTCGAGCTTACCAAGCTGGAACAGACCTCCGCTCCACTCGTCAGCTTGGCGAGCAACTCGCGGAGGTGACCGGGCAGAAACATGAAACTTCGGTTTTGACAGGCGGGAGAAAGAATCGAATGTCGAGCAGGAGAATCGAATGTCGGGCAGGAAAATCAAAATAATGTAGAAGCTCGACAGGACAACGAACGACGGATGATGTAGCTCGACAGGATGACGGATGATAGAGCTCGACGGGACAATGGATGACAGACGACATAGCTCAAAGGGACGACGAACGATGGAGCTAGATGGGAAGACGGACGACAAAGCTCGACGGTCGGCGTAGCTCGGGATGACGCTCAACAACGGAAGTCGAGAAGGAGCTCGACGAATCGCTCGATGTGAGACGAGTCGAGCTCAAGCTCGTCTTTTGAGCTCGACTAGAGCTCGAGCTCGACTTGAACTCCCCCTAGCTTGAGCTCGGCTTGACTTGTTGGCACCCCTACTTCCAAATAAATACTCATTTGGTTATGTTAGGGTGGCTGATCATCATCAAGTTATCATGAGATCACCCAAGGAAATTAAATGATAATTGAGTACTATATCATGTATGAATGAAACCGACCAAAGAGTATAAGAATCCATTCTCAAGTCAAATAAAAAAAGTGATTGTTAACCCCATAAGTCATTATACTCTCATTTTGATTTTAATGATAACAAATATATAATTATTAATTTTTAATACTTAAATTATAAGTGCTTAAGATGAAATGTGAAACTCAACTTATGTAGTCAACTTAAGAGGTTGGGCGTGGTGGGCAATTGCATTATTTTACATAATATAATAAATATTTCTACAAAATTAAATTAAGTACTAAAAATGTTATTTTATTAACAAAATTATTTAAATTTATTTTGCATGCTGATATATCACAAAATTTTCCATTTTGATCGGGCATGAATCTTGATGCAAATTTAAATTGAGGCTTTGAAAATTAAAATTAGGACCACCTGATCTCCAATTTTAGCAAGCTTATATTAAAATGAACATCTCAAGGAGACGAACCCAACATCATCAAATTTGATCCAATCCCAGCCCAAATGAGTCCAAATCAAAGGTCTACAGTTTATTTGGAAGCTTCAGAACATTAATTGGACTACCAAATGACATCCGAATATGGCATGCATATAGTAAAATTGAGCGGCACGAAAAGTCAAACCTAATAAGCTAAAGATAACTCAATTCTAACATCTCTAGGGCATCTAAATGCTTTATAAACACTTAATGGTCAAGGAGAACACCATAAGCCATATGATGGGACACTCCCAACTTCCCCTTATCTTCTCCATATTTACTAAAAATTTATAAATATTCCACAATTCTTCGTACAAATCTAGAATGTTAAACTCTACATCTCTTAACCGCCGTGAATATTCGAGGATGTAACAGGTTAGCGTCATTTGTGGGGAATGATTCCTATTTTAGGGGCAATCTTATGCAATTTTTTATCGGCCCTTAACTTTCAACCAATTTTGTATTGATTTTGTGGAAGAAAATTTAGATTAGGGGGAAACCTTGACTATAACTTCCAATGTGATTGTTGCCAAAAAAATTTCCTCCATTATTTTCAACATTAAGACAATGTCATTAACAACCAATTTTCTTAAAACTCCCAATAAATGTAAGGATGCTTCAATAAATTTTTAAACACTATACAGTCTCTAGCTGGACCTTTACTCATTAGGTAACGTCTTAATTTCAACCTTAAAAAGGCAATAACATTATAGAAAAGACCAATTTTTACATTTGATTAAGGATTCACGTGGCATTCTCCCTCTCCTAATCAAAGTCTAATCAATCCCAGGGGGGGTTTGATTCGGCATCTTTCATACATGTTAATTTCATTGAGCATTACTCTGACAAATAATTTCTGATATATCAAACATCATTGGTGGTTTCTATTAGCCTCTTCCAAATAATTTAGCTTCATCGAGCAACGCTTTGACAAATAACCTCAATTGATTCAAATATCATTAGTGGGTTCTCTATACCTCCCTATACAGGTTAACATCATCGAGCCACATTTTGACAAACAATCTTGAATAGGCCAAATATCCCTTGTAATTTTTTTTAATCATTTAAATACAATCTAATAACATTGAATGTTTTAACAAAAAAAACCATGAAGGCTTTCCCATAAGGTAGCCTCAAACGGAAGCTAGTAATTGATTATGTCCTCATTATTTTAGATCTGTACTCAAGTACTATGATTTTGATAATAATAAATATTATTGTTCCTTGACTAATGCCATTCATAGATATATGTTTTTTGTGCCCAGCTCACTAACCTTTCAGGTCTACAAGTTCGTTTGGAATGTCAATTAGCTCAAGATTAGGTAGACTAAGATTAAGTTAGTCTATAATTTCTATTTCAATATATTTTTTAACTTTTTCTTGAGTCAAATGTACCTTAGTGGATCATGAAGCTAAGTAACCTTACACACACACACACTCAGAGGGAGAAAATTAGTGGGTTAGAGTTTTCCTATTTTTTAACATATCATATAAGATGATTTTATATTGTCTTGGATGATCAGTCAAAAATAGAAACCCTAATTAGGGCACCTAGGTCATATAAACTTGCTTAAGCAAATCGTCCAAGATGATACTCCTATCATCTTGGAAGATATGCTAAAAAAAAATACTCAACTGCCAAACTCATTTAGGAAAGATTTTATTTTTAAAATTTTATTTTAATCGTACATGACGATCCCATATCGTCATGGACTATTCATTACAATCATGGCTAAATTAATCAAAAGATAAACAAAAGTAATTAAGGTTAGATTGATCGATCATATTGGGCTGGCCAATCACAAGATTGTCCTGGATGATCTGTATAAAAAATCTTAATTCTCTCCTAAATCTCCTAGACATCCTGAATTATCTACTAGATGATAATAACTTATTTTAAACAAATAGTACAGGACAGTCCAAGCATCATCATGGACGATCAATTATATTTTTATATCATACTGATTTATCTTCTAGATGTCCCGAACTATTTGTTGGATGACAATATATGATTTTAAAATAATCATTTAGGACAATGTCCAATTCGTCCTAGACGATCAGAATAAACATTTTGTTTTAATCGTACAGAAAACCCAGATCGTCCTAGCTGGAAGGGATGATTTAAACTAATTTTACAAGATGATCTCTAGATGATCTTTGATGGCAAGTTAAAAATTAGGGTATTTTTAAGGCCTTCTTTATAACATCTCTTAATTATTAACGAGAGCATCTTTTGCTGTTATCCTGACCTAAGAGGGGTTAAAGAAGGAGAAGGAGAGATTGGGGGGAGAGAGAGAGATAATATTATGAGGTGGAGTTTGCGAGGTATTCACAAAGGTTGCTCCAAGTAAGGATTCAAGTCATCTTCTCCAATCATCATCCTTAGCTCCTTGGTGGCTCTTAAGAGGTCTTCGTCATCATTAGATCAAGGTTCTCTGCCTACTTCGGGAGGAAGCAAAAGGAGTTGGGGTTCTCTGTCTGCTTCAGGAGGATGCAAAAGGATACTAGATTTTCTGCCTCACCGAGGTAGGTGAAAATAATTTTGTATGGGCTTCTCCACCCTGATGTGAGAGTAAAAGGAGAGACACTATAGTTTTAGTGCAATACCTAGAGGGTGCCTCCGAGGAGTGGACGTAGGTCAGGTTGACCGAACTACTATAATATTTGGTGTGTTCTTTCTTATTATTATTTCGTATTTTAATTTTTATACTTTAATTTTCAATGGTTGATTGTATGGTCAAAATCTTTGATTTATTTTATTAATCACTTCTGCATCAAAGGTTTATTGTATTTATTTTAAACTATTTAAAATGATTTCAAAAAGTATTTTCTTTTTGTTTTAGATTTTTTAAAACCACCAATTCACCCCCCCCCCCCCATTCCCCCCCCCCCCCCCCTCTCATGGTTATCCTCGGGCTAGTTCATAAGGGCTTAACAACCCTAATGAACTTTCAAGTGGAATTAGAGCGGGATTCATAAAATCAAGTTTTAGAAAACTTTTAAATTTAGATCCATGACTAACTTTGATAACCATAATATGGCAAAAAGGTATTTCATTACTCGACCACCTTTATTTGATAATATAATATTTGATTTCTAGAAAACTCGCATGTCTACTTTTTTATAATATATAGATTATTACATATGGATGCTTATAAAAAAGGTTATTCTTTACCAACACATGAAGTGAATGGCGTCAAAACTAAACTTCCATTTTTTTAATGGACTTTTGATGATTGGGATCTAGCACAACTTACTGCAAAATATTTAAACTATTTTTTAATGCACTAAAATTTTAAGATTACATACATGTTTCAAGATGTTCAACTGGTAAAAAAATTTGTGATAGATTATACATTACTTATGAAGGCACAAGTGAAGTTAAACAATCTAGGTTGAATATTTTACTTCATGACTACAAACTTTTTCGCATGAAATCTAGTGAGTCAATATCTAAAATGTATATTAGGTTTACAGAAATAGTCACCTTCCAACATGCCTTAGAAAGAGAGCTAACTAACTATAAGAAAGTTAACAAAATTTTAAGATGTTTACCTTCTTCCTTCAATGCTAAGATTATCGTTATAAATAAATCTAAGGATTTGAATATTTATTTGATCAATAACTTACTTGAATTACTAATTGCTTACGAGAAAGGAGTGAACCAAAGGCAGCTTGATGCAGGTGCGAAAAAGAAGAGGAAAAATATAGCCTTGAAGGCTAATGATTCGGACACTAATTCTTCTTGTTCTTAAAGTGATGAAGTCTCTTTAATTACTAGATCAT